AAGGAAAAGGAATAATCAAATCTTTATACAATTGAAAAAAAAAAAAAAAAAAAAGTAAGCTGCTCTGCAACCTTCCTTTGCTAAAAGTTAGAGACATTACCCCATCCTAGCAGCAGATTAATAAATAAGGATTAAATAGTCTATTATACAAAGCCATACCCAATGGCAGATTTCAAACCAAAAAGCTTTGCAGATACTTCCACTTCCTACACAAATCTTTTGTTTTATTAAGAATAAGACTCAGTATAAAACAGGGCAACAGCCAGCACTAGATCTATATCTACAGACTAACAGGAAAATCCAAGGGAAGAAAAATATTTAACAGTTTATGGCACCTTTACTGCATAACATGTTTCAAGGCTCTGTTTCCCTACAACTAACGAGTAAAGGGCTCTTTATCTCAGCTTTTATTAAGCAAACTCCATATAACCAACCACACAGTGGCAAGAGACAGAACCAGCTGTTCCCAGCTGCAAAAATGGATTGATTCCCACCCTAAAAAACCAGCACGACTTCGGTGTCAAGGAAAGAAACGGCAAGTTCCGGTTTCCTAACGCTCCTTTGTTCCTCCTGAGGCAAATTCCCTCCGTTACTTGTGTTGGGTGGGTGTTGTTCAGTAACTGTTTTCGTGTCCAGCCAGGATGTAGAGGTTGCTGTGAGCCTGAGGGTTCTCCGTGGGCCTGCTCTCCAACACAACCACTCTGCAACCAAACACAAAACAGGATCCAGGAATTCAGCGGCAAAAGGTAAAGCACGTGGCGTGAGGAGCAAACTCCCAGGTTTCTACAGCCTGGAGGTTCTCCCAAATATCTTGGGTGTTTCATTCCTTAAAGCAGTTCCCTTGTTTTGCAGCATCACTTCTGATAAAATCCCTACAATGTTACATATAGTGGAAGGTGTCCCTGCCATGGAACTGGATGATCTTTAAGGTCCCTTCCAACCCAAACCATTCCACGATTCCATGATCCCATCAACTGCGGCCCGAGTATGTTTATCCCTCCCACATCTTGTGATGAGCATCAGCCACTAACCCAAACAATTCTCCTCCATCCTAAATATTTGTCCCCGATGGGTTCACAGGGATCACTCAACCCCATCTCTGCCTGTGTCCTGCTGGGTCACATTCCTGTGGGCTGCTCTGGAAAATGAGTCTCCCCCTGCCTTGGCACACACTGACCACTGCCCCATCCCATGCTGACCATCAGCTGATGTGGTTGGGCCTTTGCCCTCCCTTCTCCCTCCCAAATGCCTGCATTTCTCTGCACCAGTTCCTAGGAAAATATCCTGTTGTTTTTAGGATTACACTTCTCTCTACTTTCTCCCTTCCTCAAGAGTTTTCAAATGAAGTCTCCTAACTCCCTCTGTCCCTGATCTGCACCTCTGCACCCGACCAGTTCTAGAGTGATCCAAGGCAGAAAGGTGCTACCACATCCCATTGCTGGAATGGCAAGAAAGAATCCTGCTCCAGCTGAACAGAGATGGAAAATACAAACCAAGGGGTTTGGCAGTTCAAAAGCCAGATGGATCAGGGATTTAAGACCAGGAGGTATTCAAGGCCAGGTTGGATGGGGCTTGGAATAACCTGGTCCAGTGGAAGGTGTCCCTGCCCGTGGCAGGGAGGTGGAACAAGATGAGCTTTAAGATCCCTTCCATCCCAAACCATTCTGGGATTCTGTGATTGGAACTGATTTCTGGATTCATTCCTATCTACTCCTGCATTTAGCACTGAACCCAAAAGTGCACAGGTCCAACCCAGAGACTGGGGCAGCTGCTGCTCAGGTTCCAAACCTGGAGGCAACTGCACCTCTTCCCACCTCTGGAATCAGCTGGATATTATGGATAATGATTGAATTTAGCCCACTGTGATTAAAACTTGTGAGTGTTCTAGTTTGCCCTAGTTTGCTATTTCAAGATCAGCAGAGATTATTTTTAACTAACTAGCTGCCAAGATAATTCACAGTTCGCCAGGAAAATCCAAGCCAGGGGCAGGCTTTTCCAGGCATCCAAGGGCATCTCTCATCTCTCCCTGTCACCTGCAGCCTACAGACAGAGCTGTGGTGGGCTGGAAGCCAGTTCCAGCTGGGAACTAGAAAAGCTGGTTTAAATAAAACAAAAGGTTTCTGTTTCTTCGGGGTGATTTACCTGTCTGACCCCAGCAAGCGGAAAACCCTGGTTTCATCGGATATCTCCTGGGTCACCTGGGGAAAAATGGAGATGTTTAGATCTGTTTCAGGGGCAAAATGAAATTTATTGGCCTGAGTCGGAAGGAAAATAAAATTCAAGTGCAACTTGGTGCAAACTCCAGGAGAAACAGATAAATTGATCTCGGAGCACAAGCATTGCCAGTAGGGAAGGAGCAAGAGGAGCCAAAGGATCGAGTGGTAAATAAGGAACAGGAATAAATTAAACCTTCCTGGAGACACTGGGAGATCACTTACTTCATCTGACTTAAAGCTCTTGCCCTGCATTCCATGTTTCCAGAAGGCCAGCACGCTGTCCTGAAGGCACACTGCAAAGGAAAAACACACATCACACCCTATTCCCTGGGTCTTTGTACCCCTAATGATTCTGGAGAAAACTCCAGGAAGGGTATAAAAACAATTCCAACTACATATTTGAATTATTGTATTTACTTTAAAATATGACTATTTTTAATATATAAATATATATTCAAAATGGAATTATTACATTTACTTCAAAATAGATGTATGAAAAATGGGAGGAGTTTTCCATTCAGGGACAGAGGGAGTACAGAACTCCCAGCTCTGAGTGATTTAATTCTATAATTCCAAGAGTTTATCACAGCACAAATACTTGTCTGACAACCACAATTCAAGTTTTTGAAGCAAAGGCTGCTGTCCCCTGATAATTTAAAGACAGCAGTTTGTCCTCTAAGAATTAGACTGAAATATTATGATCCTGACTATTAAAAAATGGCTGTGCTACACTTTAAATAAAATCCCAACTTTCAGAAGACTAACACAGATTTATGTATTACTAAAACACTTTCTCCTCCCCGAATTTTTTTCTCAGTTCTATGGAAATGACCAGAAACCAGCCAGTCTTTCAACACTCACCCCTGTGAGTTCTTCAACCCCGAGAGACAAGGCAGAAGCAAATCACTCACCCACTGACTCGATGCAGAAATCAAAGCTCAGCTCAGAGGCCAATTTCTTGCTTGACTTCAGTTTCCCTTGTAAATTCACTATTTTCACAAATTCTCGAGAGAAACAGAAAAATAAGTATTAAAACCCACTGCTGAAAAGGATTCGAGTAAGAGATACTAATTTAATCTTTCAGGCACAAAGAAATACCCCAAGTTAACATCTACAGTGTTTGCCTAAAATGAACCCAAGAGCATCTTTCTCTCAAAATAAATATAAAAAACTTTTTTGTGCACTTGGCATGTTTTTAGACTCTACTGACAGAATGATTCACATACGAGGAGAGAAAGTGGAATGACAGGACTCAAAATGAAATCCCACTTATCCAAACTGTAGCTTATTTGGAAATATCACAACACAGATCAGTAATGAAGGGGGAAAAATTAACTTGTGGGCAGAGTTCAGCTCAACAACTGTGGCAAAACAAGTTTTGCACGAGGTGTAGGAAGTTTTCCAAGAGAATTGTGTTACTCACTGTCCAGGCAGACCAGGACAGTGTCCCTTTCCAGCTGTGTCACGTGAATGGCATCCAGCTGCTGATTGCCTGAGGAAAAACAGAGCAGATTATTTTATACACATAAAAGACTGATCTCAGCCTCCTCTCAGCAAAGCTACAGCCTCTTCACTGGGCTGTTTGTTACTCTGAATTATTTTTAAGGCTCCAAGATCCCAGAATGTTCTGGAAGAAGGACAAACCCCTCAGTTCAAAGCAGGTATTTAATATAAAAGCACTACTTTGACTGGATAAAATATGTTTTGTGCTACAGTTCAGCACAGCTTCCATCACAGGGAGGCACCATAATGAACAAAAGGAACCATCAAGGGAATCCTCACTCCTAAAAAAAAACGCTCCTTTCCCATAAATCCACATCTGGAAAGATTATTGTGCTGATACCAAGCTAAATTTAATAGGATTTCATAGCATTTTTTTCTGGTTTTTATTAATGAAGCTGTTGGTACAGCTTTAAAGGTAAAAAAGGATATCCAACAAGGGCAGCTGAGAAAAGCAGATGCAAAATATCAACCAGGTTGTGAAGATAACCCAAATCCTGGCTTACTAAAAGCCAGCTGAAGATGACAAACCTCCCCCAAGGGCTGGAGGATGGACAAGAATTCATTTCTGGATTCTTTACACAGGAAAGGGAGGGGAAAGAGCAGGAAGGCTGATCCCAGGCAACAGTGTGGAACCACGAAGGAGAACCCAATCAGCAGGGTCTGGTTAGTGTTTAAAGAGATTTAGAAAACAGAAGGTGTGTCTGAAGTGGAAGTTTTTTAAACAAGGACAGTTTATACTGAGGTGGGTGGGTCAGCACAAGAACACAGAGAATCATGGAATTATAGAATTGTTGGGAATGGAAATGACCTTAAAGCTCATCTCATTCCAACCCCCTGCCATGGGCAGGGACACCTTCCACTAGACCAGGTTGTTCCAAGTCCCTCCAACCTGGCCTTGGACACTTCCAGGGATCCAGGGGCAGCCACAGCTTCCCTGGACAACCTGTGCCAGGGCCTCCCCACCCTCCTAGGGAAGAATTCCTTCCCAATATCCCATCTAACCCTGCTCAGTGTCAGTTTGAACCCATTCCCCCCTTGTTCTGTTACTCCAGGCCGTTGTCCAAAGTCCCTCTCCACCTTTCTTGCAGGTTCCCTTCAGGTTCTAAAAAGGGATCTGCTCTGGGTAGAGAAGCTGCCAAGCCCAAAGCTTTTCCAGCTGACTCCTGAGGAGTCATATCCAACATTCCCATAGAATCCAAGGGCTGGGAGATGGTCGGACAGCCTCACCTGCCCCGATCTCTGTGAACCACGAGGACGCCGAGTTCAGGTTGATTGTCTCAAACTGCACGACCTGGTTTGGCTCCGAGCCCTTGCTGATGGCCACACACACCATGGGATACTCCTGCTCCGGGATCACCAGCATCTCAAACACATTCAGGGGGCTTGGCAGGGGGAAATCAAAGTGCTGGGGAAAAAAAAACCAACAAACCATTATCAGGCAGTTGTAAGTTTGATTTTACAGTGAAACAAATCTACAGTAACAAAGTATAAATATACAGAATTTTTCACTGCATGAACATCGGGCCGGGCAGAGGTGGATGATGTTCTGCTGTTGTGAGTGCTGGGCTTGATCCAGCACTTAAATGACTTTTAAATGACTTACATGACTCCAGTCACAAGGTTTTCTGAGTCAAAACGTGTCAAGTCAGATTTTTCAAGTGCTCACAACCCACAAATGGCACCAGACCGGGACGTACTTTCCATGACAAACTCTGGAAAGGTTATTTCAGCAACTGTATAATTATTAAACTAAACTACAAGTAAATCCTTACCTTTATTAACATGAATTTCTGCATTGGCTCATACCACTGGAGTAGAACAATTCCAGACTGCAACGCACCACAAAGGTACTTATGGCCTGTGTATGGATTTCGTACTGCAAAAAATAAAACAAACAAAAAACCCCCCTGAAAACAGTAATTTTAAAGTCCTGGAAGTTCAATGCATAGTTAGAAAAAATTCTACACAGGTACCTTTGCAAATAAGTTAAGAAATAGCATTATAAAAACATATCAAAGAATGATTAGGGTCGGAAGGGACCCTTAAAGATCATCTCATTCCATCAGTTTCCCACTAGTTGCCATTCCAACATCCACAGTGGTTAATATTGTGCTACACTCCAGATAAATTCCATTGTGATTAATAACCAGCAGCATCCTCGGAGTCCCAGCTCAGAGCCCACACACTGAGTGGGCAGAAAGGCTGTGACTCCTCTCCGTGGGGCTGGGTGAGCTGGGTCAGGCTGGGATTGAAATAAAACAATTCCCAGGCAGAAAAGGTGGGAAGCTCATAACTCCTGGGGGGCTCTGACTGGTTTGGGGGAGTTTTTTTAAGCTCAGCTGGATACAGGACAAGGGTGACTTGAGGAATCACTTGTAAATGTGGCTGTTGTGGACACTTTAATGAGCTAAACAGGATCTCCAAGTGGCAAAGAAGTACCTTATGTGAATTTTTAAGGGTGTGAAGGTACAACTGGAAGATGTGGCATTTGGAGACATGGGTCAGTGGTGGGCTGGGCAGTGCTGAGGGAATGGCTGGGCCTGGTGATCTTAAGGGCCTTTTCCAAACTAAGTTAATCTAAAATTGTATATAAGACCTGGCCTTGGACACTTCCAGGGATCCAGGAGCAGCCACAGCTCCTCTGGGCAACCTGTGCCAGGGCCTCCCCACCCTCACACCCAAACTTTCCTTCCCAAAATCCCATCTAACCCTGCCCTCTGGCAGTAGGAAGCCATTCCCCCTTGTCCTGTCACTCAGTGCCCTTGTCCCAATTCCCTTTCCAGCTCTCCTGGAGCCCCTTTAGGCCCTGGAAGGGGCTCTGAGGTCTCTGTGGACCCTTCTCTTCTCCAGGCTGAACAATCCCAACTCAGCCTTTTTGCTGAACAAAGAACTAAGTTTATTATTCAGACATGCCATGGGCAGGAAAACAAAAAGCAAAGCTGAACATCTGCTCACCTATACAGCATTTGTGGCAGCCTTTTGTGTCAGGGATCTTGGTCGTTAAGGCAAATTTCCTGGAATAATAATCACCAAAAAAATTCATCAGCAAGAGATGTCAAGGCCCTTCATGCACCAAACTCAACAGCACCAACAGCATTTATGGTTATTTTCACTTATTAATAACTGTCTATAAGTGAGAGGTTTGTACCTTGGTAATATTTTGTCAGGAAATCTGTGGGTTTGAATATGAGCAGCTAATCCTGTTTTTTTGGCTTGTTCAAACAAAGCTATTAAGTTATGGGAGTAGAGCTGGAACGTTTTCCCTGGAAGAGAGAAAAGCACAGTTGACATCAACAGCCACCCCTCCAGTGGAGAACTGCACCATTTAGGAAAATGTAGGTAGGGAAAATTACCTTCTGGAAACATGGAGCACGAGCAGCAGGGAGGCCAAGTCCAGGTATGAAGAAAATAAAAGAAGGCAACAAAACAATGAATAGAGAATGAATATTGAACTTAGAGCTCATTTCAGTAAAGTCAAATTTATGTAAACATTTTTAGAAGGCTGTAATTATACAACAATTGATATCAGGATATTTTCTTTATCTATAAATCAATAGAAATGTTGTTACACAAACCCTGCATGTTTAAAGGCACAGTCCTATAATCAGTCTCCATTCCACAGTGCCTGTTTCCTATTTGGAATATCCCATTCCAGGACAACCGATTGCCCGAGAATCAGTATTTCCAAGCAGCAACATTGCTGGATCAACAGTACTTCACAGTCACTTCACCTCCTTCAAATTTACACAGATTTTGCTTTAGAATCCCAGGATGGTTTGGTTTGGAAGGGACATTAAAGATCATCCAGTCCCAACCCCCTGCCATGGGCAGGGACACCTCCCACTAGCCCAGGTTGCTCCAAGCCCCGTCCAGCCTGGCCTTGGACACTTCCAGGGATCCAGGGGCAGCCACAGCTTCTCTGGGCAACCTGGGCCAGGGCCTCCCCACCCTCACAGTCAAGAATTCCTTCCCAATATTCCACCTAACCCTTCCCTCTGGCAGTGGAAAGCCATTCCCTGTGTCCTGTCCCTCCATCCCTTGTCCCAAGTCCCTCTCCAGATCTCCTGGAGCCCCTTCAGGCTCTGGAAGGGGCTCTGAGGTCTCCCTGGAGCCTTCTCTTCTCCAGGCTGATCAAACAACATTGTAATGAATCATTTATTTATTTATAATTCCCCTTTATTTATAATTTTAATAATTTCCCCTCTCTTTATACCTACCTGACAAGGACATCAAGGTGTTGTTGATAACATACAGCCAGGTGCATTTTCGGGGGAATAACTGATAAAAGAAAACATTTCCATTAATAGAAACACACAGGAATTTCCAACCATCATTTCTCTGCCTGCTCCACCTCCACCACCATTCCTGCAGGGATCCCCACTGGAGAAAGTCCCAGCTTCCCTTTAATTGCCTGTTTTGGACCCTCTGTGTTTTTTGGGATGTACCTGCCTGGCTATCTGTGTTAAGAGGCTGCTCTGTGCACAGACAGACCGTGGAAGATTGGGACTGAATTTTGTCCCAGCGGGAAGAAGTTACTCACAGGGCAGCTGCTCTGGATTTGAGGAGATTTTAAAGTTAAGAACGAACTCCTGAAAAGGGAATTGTGATAAAAGTGATGGCAAACAATGGCCTTCAGGAGTCCCACAAAAGAAGGGATAAAGGATGACAGGAAAAGGGCAGAGGTTTTGTTGTAGAAATTTCTGATAAGAAAAAAAAGGACTTCAAATGATTAAGCTGTTTTGAAAACAAAAAAGCCCCTTCCAGTGCCTAAAGGGGCTCCAGGAGAGCTGGAGAGGGACTTGGGACAAGGGATGGAGGGACAGGACAACCAGGAATGGCTTCCCACTGCCAGAGGGCAGGGTGAGATGGGATATTGGGAAAGAATTTTTGGCTATGAGGGCAGTGAAGCCCTGGTACAGGTTACCCAGAGAAGCTGTGGCTGCCCCTGGATCCCTGGAAGTGTCCAAGGCCAGGTTGGATGGGGCTTGGAGCAACCTGGGATAGTGGGAGGTGTCCCTGCCCATGGCAGGGGGTGGGATGAGATGATCCTCCAAATCCTTTCCAACCAAACCATTCCATGATTCTGTGATATGATTCCATAACACAGGCTTTGTCCTCTGTGCCACTTCCACAAGCAAAATAAGAAAATATGTGGTAGAAGAATCTCAGAAAGAAAAGGTACAACTGGCTGGACATAAAGTATCTCTCAGCAATTTGCTATTTAATAGAATAGGTCTGGGTCTATTCAGTATTTTCACTGAAAAACTAAAAATGGAATAAAAATATACTTCTGGAATTGGGAGACATTAACCTTGGAGAGACAGCCAAGCACTTTGGAGGATACAATTACACTTAGAAGTTGAACAAGCAGTTCAAAATGTGCATTTGGAGGGGAGAAAATGAAATGAATAAATGAAAATGTGGAAACAAGTGGTGTGGCAGAAGCCTCTGGGGTCTGAGGTGGGTCACACCTGAGCTCTGCCAGCTGGGAATGCTCTCATGGAAAAGGAAACTTTCATTTTGGGATGCACTGAATGGTCTCCCTACCCACCACTGGCACAGCCAAAACCTTTCAAGGTGATATAAAAAAGCATGTGGAAGAGCCCAGAGAAGCCTGTTAGGTGAAATAAATTAGGAAAGCATATATGGAAAGAGATTCCCAGAACATCCTGCTACTCCTGACCCTAAAGAAGCAAATTTAACCCCATGAATAGATGAAGTGGCTTTGGAAAGGGTCAGAGAGCCCAGGAGAAGTTTACTGGGGATAACAACAGCAGCTGAAGTGAATGGGTGAGGGCTTTGGTAGCATCCAGAGGAGCTGCAATGTGCCATCTAGTGGGGATGGGGTGGAGGGAGAAAGGGCAGGGAATCAGTTCTCCAAGGAGAAGGAAGTTCTGGCAGCAACAATAAATTCAGGTAGGTCGAGGAACTATTAATTGTCAGACTTCCCTTGCTGGCTTTGATGTGAATCAGTTTAATCCACAGAGCCTTTTCCTTCCAGTGCCAAACTTCATTGCTCCATAATATCCCCAAATCTGTGCGTTCAATCCCCCAAAACTCACCTGTTCCATTGTTGCCTCGTGAAGTTCATTCAAATTCAAAGTATAGATCCCTTCTTCTGTGCCAAAGATGATGTACTGGTCTGAAAAACGGAGAGAAGTGGATTATTTCCTAAGCTCATCACCAGGTTTAAAAGACAAACCTAAAGTAACTTTACAAATTGATTATTTCCCAAGCTTTGGCAACACAACAGGCAGGTTTGGAACACAATCCTGAAATAACTTTACCTTTTGTATCTGGATGTATCCACGATGTTGCACAGTTGATCTTCAAAGGACAACCATCGAAGACTTTGGAAAAACATGCTCCCATCTGAAAGACACCAAAACTGAAACCTGAAACGAATTTAGAGTATAAGGAGTTTATTTTCTGGCACCTGGCCACTCACACACACCTGCAGACACCACTGCTCTCCCCTTGCCACACACAGACTTCCCCTAAAATGCTTGGATGCAAAACACTGGGACCTTCCCCAAAAGCTCCAGCCTTCCAAAGCTTTTTGTAGACTTCAAATACATTAAGAAATGTAAAAAAGGGGTCGAAATTATATCAACAACTTCAAGTACCTATTGGGTAAGAACAATATACCCTGGAGGGACTGGAAAGCCGTGTGGATGTGGCACTTGGGGACGTGGGTCAGTGGTGGCCTTGGCAGTGCTGGGAATAGTCGGATTCAATCTTAAAGGGCTTTTCCAGCCTAAATTATTCTGTAATTGTACTTATAATTGTATTCAATGCTTAAATAAATGGCACAATGAGGGGAAAACAAGCAGGAATTGAAGCAGTGACGCCCTCCCATCACTAGCACCTTTTCCCATTTCTCTTCCTAAGCAGAGATCACGACTCAGGGAGCCAGGGAAGCCTCCAACCCTCCACATCCAGACTGAATAGTGACAGGAAGGGTTTAAAAAGAGGGAACAAATATTGTGTGCTCAGCACAGGAGAAATAACTGGCTGTGAGGTGCAGAAAATCCCCCCAGATGAGCTGGTGCCTCATTCCAGCAAAAACCTTCTGACACTGGAGAGAGGAGGTTCTGATAACTCCCAGTGCAAACGGGATTTCTTACCAGCACCTTCGGAGTCGGAGGCAAACCATTGATGGCTGGTTTCTGTGGGAAGAAACAAAGATCATAAAACACCTCCCACACACTGACACAAAACCAGCCTGTTGACACAGCCAGATCAGCCCCAGAGCCACAATACCTACAGGGAAATCTCTTTTCTCCTTTTTCCGTGGGAGCTGAGGGATTTGTCCGGATCCTTCCACGTTTTCCTCGATGAGTTTCAGCATCCCATTCCCATTGCCTGCAGAGAAGCCCAGACACCTTTTGTAGCTTATTTGACAGAGTGGAACAGAAAATCTCTTCTCCCCTGTGCCCAGCAGGAGTGGAGAAGTGAGCTCTGACACTTCCATATCCACATCCCAGGTAGCTGAAACCTTCCCAGGCCAACTGGCTGCTCTTGTCCGTGCTAAGTTACACACTTTCCATTATCCAAACAGTCCCTGGGCCAAATTCCACTGAGAATAAAGCTGTGGCATTCATTGTTTTTCTCCTGTTCCTGCAGGCCACACATTAATGGGATTGGCTGGCTCAGGGTCCTTGTTTCGGGAAGAACATTCCCACCATGTGTCACGGCTCTAATAAGAACCAGCACACAAGGATAAAGGAAAGCTGCCCCTCATGATCAGTTGTGTTAAAAAATTATCTCTGAAAATAGTTGGCTCTGGAAGCAACTCCTTCTCCAGGATGCCAGTCACCTTCAGGAAAGGTCAGGCATTTACCCAGGTCGCTGTATCTGGCTGTGAGCAATCCAGGGCTGCTGATGCTGCTGGTCATTCCAATGGGGTTGGAATCAGCCTGAGGCCCACAAACTGGGATACTCTGTCTCCTGTGGGCTGGTGGGGCTCTGTTCTGTGAGTCTGGGAAATGTTTTATTGTCTGGCATCTCTCATCATCTGGGAGGTTTTCCTCGGGATAACTGTTTATTCTCGGCTGCAAGAAACCAGAGGTGATGGTTACTTGGGAAATACAAGGAACTGGGAATGGCACCTGGGAAGCACAAACTTCAGGTGAGTTTCATTCAAGTCAGACTTTCTACATTAAAAACAAATCAGCCTTTGAAAAGTGTGTGAACTTCTGGGCATCACAAAAGCTCTCTGGTGTCCAGTGACAGGACTCGAGGGAAGGGCTGGAGCTGTGCCAGGGCAGGGTCAGGTTGGATCTCAGGACAAGGTTCTTCCCCCAGAGGGTGGTTGGCACTGAACAGGCTCCCCAGGGCAGTGGGCACGGCCCCAAGGCTGCCAGAGCTCCAGGAGGGTTTGGACAACGCTCTCAGGGACAGGGTGGGATTGTTGGGGTGTCCTGGGCAGGGCCAGGAGTGGGACTGGGTGATCCCTGGGGGTCCCTTCCAACTCGGCACATTCTATGATTCTATAAAATAAAGACAATTGACAGCAGAATAATTTCAGAGGTGTTCCTCCCTGATGGAAAATCAGAGGCAGAATGCAGAACAGGAGGCCATCCCAGGCTGCCCAAGTTTTAGGGTTTGCTGCCCAAACCCCTTAAATCCCACATCTCTCACCTTGGGAGGCAGGGGAGGTGGCCCCGCTCGCTTTAGTGTTGACCTGCAATGGAAAGGGCAGTTGTTGGCTTAGTTAAACCAAAACCAGAATGAAAACCAGAACTACTTGACAAGACAGACTGGAAATAAGATCAACTAGAGGCAAAGAAGAGGCAGATCAGAGCTTTGCACACTGGGTTAAACTGGAAGTCCAAGAGCAGGGGAAAAGCACATTAATCTTGTTAGAAGTGTTGGTTTGGGATAAACTCGTGTTCTTTCATAAATGCCAATGTTACTTGTTACAGAGCATTCTGTGGGGAAGGAGATTTGGAGTCAGTAAATAAATATACATTCAGAAACTGGATCTCAGGCTAGAGAGGAACTCTGGACAAGGGATGGAGGGACAGGACAAGGGGGAATGGATTCCCACTGCCAGAGGGCAGGGTGAGATGGGATATTGGGAAAAAAATTCTTGGCTGAAAGGGTGAGGAGGCCCTGGTACAGGTTGCCCAGAGAAGCTGTGGCTGCCCCTGGATCCCTGGAAGTGTCCAAGGCCAGGCTGGATGGGTCTTGGAGCAATCTGGGATAGTGGAATGTGTCCCTGCCTATGGCAGGGGGTGGCACTGGATGAGCTTCAAGGTCCCTTCCAATCCAAACCATTCTGGAATGCTGGGATTCCAGTTTGCAGCCTTCACTCTGAATCAAACCTTTGGGCACCAGAGGAGCTGCACCAGAGGAGCTGCACCAGAGCTCTACAGGATAATCTGCACATCCTGTCCCAGCCAGGCCTGGATCATGGCTGATGGATTAATCAACATAAAATCTGCTTTAGAGTATCAGGCACTTCCACATGGACTCTGAGATAACTTCAGGAAGGAGAGCAAGGAGGGAAAGCGTGGCTTTGGACATTCCCCTGAGGATCAGGGAAGGAGTGAAGCCTGGAGAGCAGCCAGCCCTCAGTTAATGGTGAGTGGCAAAGCTGCTGCAGCAGTTTGAGGGGAGAGGTTTTGGAGCACACACAACTGTGCAGGAAGGAGATCCACTCACTCTTCAACATCTTCACTCCCATCGCCAAATTTTGTGAGCAGTCCCCTAAGGTAAAATATTTATACAATTAAGAGCTCTGCTCTAAGGTGCAACTAAACCCATCCCTGATGTCACTGAGTTTCACAACAGCCCTTTCCAAAACAAACATTTCTCTTATTCAGCCCTGTTTCCATTCAGTTTGGTCCTTTCCTTCCCCTCGCCCCCCAAAAATCGCTGGATCTCTCTTCCACACCAGACACCATCAGCTTTCTTTTCCCTACCTGCTATTTTAAATATTATTGACATGTCTAACAACAGTACAACATAAAAGAAGAAAAAAAACAACAGAGGAAGTTACTGGGAGACAAATGGAGAAAAGCCTTTTAAAGAGAAGTTTCCATATATATATATATACAAAAGACACAGACTGTTTCCCACTACAGTGGGAATTTTTGTTTCAAAGCTACCCCAGGGACAGCAAAAAAAGGAATTGTGACTAGAGGATCAAAGCAGCACTGAAAATATAACCCTGAAACCAACAAAAAAAACTGATAAAATTTTGCAAAATGGCAATTTTAAAGTTGGGTCTTTAAAGGGTGACGACCAAGAAAACCCAGTAAAGTTTGGATTAATGTAAAATTTCCCTGCAAGTCACTTCTGAGGGAAAGCAGCAACTGCCAACAGGAACTACTAAAAAATTTAAAAGAGAAAAAGTTTTTCATTTTGAAAGGTTCTTCTTGCCTGGAGAAGCTGTGGCTGCCCCTTCCCTCTAAGTGTTCCAGGTTGGACAGGGTTTGGAGCAACCTGGGATAGTGGAAGGGGCTGGGATGAAATGGGATTTAAGATTCCTTCCAACCCAAGCCATTCTGGGATTTTATGAAAATCATAAATAAAAAACACCTCCATAATGCAGAAAATTTATACAAAAAAAGGAATTTTAAAATGCCACATTGAGAAAAACAAGGAATAAGTTTGATCAGCAGGTAACACATCCTGGTTTTCCTCCTTTCCAGTCAAGTAATTCCTGAGCTGAAGATCAGTCACCACTCACTCCATAAAAGCCAAAGGGCATGAAAAGCAAGGACACCCCCCCAGCAAACATCCTCTCTGGACATCCCTGGGATTACTCAGAGTTGCTGGGACAGAGGAGTTATGCATTTCCTGTTTATCTTTCCAGCTGGAAGTGGTTTCCAAGTAAGCAGCACGGATTCACCATCCAGAACTGTCCTGCCTGTCCTCCTCCCAACGCTGGATCCGTGTCCATGGACTCATTTATAGCCCTGGAAAGGTCTGCTATGGCCACAGTTATTGTGCTTTAACACAGCCTGGCACAGGCAAAGCCACAGGAACAGAATCAAGTCACTGAGTCCCTTTGCCAGGGGGAGCTTCCCTCCCTCCCTCCCTGCTCCTCGACCCTGCAAATTCCAGCTGTCTGCAGAAAATCCAGGCTTCAGCTCATCAGGGTCACACAAACAACCCCAGAGAGGGAGGAAGGGGAGGAAAACAGTCCCTGGCTTTCCTGGGCAGGGAGAGGCAGAGCCCAGAGCCCCCCAGATGCCTCCTATGATGAGATTGAGAACAAAAAACCAGGTGGAACTTCAAAAGACTCAAATCCTGGCACACTCCACACCCCCATGAGCTTTCCAGGGGGCTGTAGTGTCAGCTGACAGCTTATGCAAGACTTTATCTGCAAAAAACAAGCCAAAGAAATCCACTGTCTGCTGCTCAGCTCCAAATAAAGATGGGAAACAAGCTCTTTTAGCTGAGCAATTATTTCAGCCCCAACAGGACCCTTTCCTATGCCTGTGCATCACCTGGCATCACTGAACTTCCACACTCCCCACTGCAAATCCAGGGAGTGCCTTTAAAGGCAGGATCCCCTGTTTTGCAGCAAAAGGAAGGTACATCCATAATAAATTCAACCCCAACTTGGACAGAGTTGTGCTCCTGTACTTCAGACCTGCTTTATCTGGGGGAGATCAGCTACAGCACACCTTTGCCTAAAACACTTCACCCCAAAACACCCCACGAGTGAATTACAGACCCCACTGATCACAGCCCCGGAGCAGGAGGAGCTGTGCAGTTGGACTGTTGGTAGAACTAAACCTTCAGAGCTGGCCTCTCCTTCCCTTTCTCGAGCTCAGGGCTGTGAACAGGCCTTGTCACAGGATGTCACAACCACAGCCACGGCTCAGAAGAGAAGTGTGAGGCCAGAGCAGGATCCTGAACTCAGCCCTTTGCAAGGTCACCAGCTCTGCCTCAGCAAACTGGCTGTGGTTGTGTTATGTCAGAGTCCTGCTCGAGCATTTACACTTCACTTGCCACCTACAAACTTCAAACAAGCTTTCTGTTGGTGCTTAAAAGAGATTAAAACCCATCCTCCAAGAGAACTGACCAACCATCTGCAGAAGGAGAACTTCACACTGGGTAACATCTCCTTAATTCATGAATATTAAAGTCCATCAGGGCTTATGGTTTGATTTTTCCACCACAATTTCAGTGTAATTTCACATCAAGTGACAGAAATAAAAGCTGGTTTTTTATTCTGTACTTACTTGCTGCTTCCACCATCAACAAAAGGATTCCAGTGTGAAGCAAAGTCACTGCCAGCTGCCACAACCTGGAGATGCAGAAATTGTCATTTTTTAACCCCCCTTGTTCAAACTAAAGTACCTTATCCACCACAAACAAAAAGGCCTGGGAGGTTCCCCAGCCCTGCAGAACGATCCAGAAGCAGTAAAAATCAAATTCCAAAGCGAGACAACATTTTACAATCTCTAAAGCAATTTTTCTTCTTCTTAAGACTTCAAAGCAGCAGCTGGAAATGGTGGAGTGTCAGGATCGAGTAACAGGAAAGCAAAAATTTATGGTGAAAACTCAGTAAGGATCACTTAGGGAACCTAAAGCAGGGAACTTAGGGAACTTAAAAGACATTTTTCCAGCAAGCTGCTTAAGAGCTGAACCATAAAACAGTGAAGACACTGTGATTTTAATAAATTAAGTTAAAAATAAACTTGTCCTTACCATTTCATCCCGAGCTTCTGTTTCTTTCCGAAGAGGGGGCTCAAATTGCAGCTTATCAACTGCAAAACATCACATTTTCATAATTAATACACACAACATTGCACTAGGGCTCTTTCAGTGCTTACTACAGTGAAATGCATGTTGTAACAGATCTAAGTACTGTGTACACAACATTTAATTTGCCCGTAAAACATCGGCCTTGTTGTCTGAACGCTTAAATCTGCACACACGAAACCCACAAGAAAGCCCAAAGGTAAATACCAAGTCACTGTATGAAGGCACACTCAAATGTAACTATTTTAACCACGTGCCACTTTTAAATGCATGTGAAAGGGAAGAAAGAAACAGCAGGTCTCCCAGAAGTGTGATGTACGTGATGCAGACGAGCCACAAAACACTTTTTTGTCCCAACCTGGAGGAAACCCAGTTCTACCCTCAAAATTTCAACTTAAGTGCCTTAATATTAATTTGGGGGTTGAAAAGCTATGACTGAAGATTCACAGGCAGGAAGCTGTTTCTCCTGGCTTTGTTTTCCGAATGGGAAGAGGTTTTGCAGAGCGCACAACAAAAGGACGCCGCCGACGTCCTCCAGAAGGATCCCCCCCCCAAAACCAGACATCCCCCAAAAAAAGGGGCAGAGCCCCCCAGGAACTCACAGTTTATCTCTGATGCTGTTCTCTCTGCCCTGATGTTCCTGTTGGTGGAGCGGATGGTGTGGCGGATGACGGAGTGAGGCTGGGAACGGGAGAGGGGAGAAGAGTTGGAAACGCTTTTGGATCTCCAACAACAACCAAACACACGAGGAGGAGGAGGAGGAGGAGGAGCAGCTGCTGCAGCCACACGCTGTTCAAGCTGCAATCTCACCTTCCCCAAAGCAAAGCAGGGCATTTCAAGTGGAGTTTTACCTCAAACAGAGGGATGTTCTCACCTCAAAATCATCATCGTCGACTTCACCGTAGTGTGTGTGGTTGTCGGGGTTGTTGACTTTGTCCAGCAGCTCAACTGCCAAAGACCTTGACAGACCAGGCTGCCCCACAAAGCTATGCTGGAACCACAGAAAAGGACAGAAAAGAAGGTTGGAATATGCAATTAACAGGTAACTTTCATCAGCAGACATCAAATGTAGAATGTTACTGATTTTTTTCTGCTTTCTGGAGGCTCAACTATTATTTTAATAACTCCCTAATGGCTGGACTTTCTGACCCCTCCATAAACACCACACTCTGGGCCACTTGTAAACTGGAAATTAAGCTCTGAGAAGAACAAATAATTACACTTCAACTTCATTTTTTCCTTCAGTTTAGGAAAGCAGAGATCTATGAACAACTAAATTTTTGGGTGACAGGAAGGGCCAATGTCCACACAGGCACAAGGCTGAGACACCCACTTGAAGCACATTTCTGTACTTGTTCCTTCCAAAAACCCTCTACTGAACAAAATCCTGCCACTCCCTTACAGATGACCAACACCTCCCTCTTTTAGATTTCCCCACCCATGTTTTAAAATTAAAGAAAACGGTTCCAGTTGGGTTTCCTATTGATCTGTTGCTCACTTTGAAGCAAGAGATCTCCTCCTGCTGCCACTAAATGTCACTTACAGAGAGGAGTCTGTCTGCTGTTGGCCTCTTCTTTGGATTTTTGGTAAGTGCTATTTTGACAAAATTATGGAATGTTGCTGACCTTAAAAGAAAAATGAGGGGTTATGTTTAATTTTTCAGTATTATTGATTTTAAGACACTTACTAAACAGATCACAAAAGGGTGTGATAAATTAGAAAGTTGTCCAGGTACTTCATCTCAGGTTGGAATAATTACATTTCCAGATTAACAAATTAGGAAAAAACCCATTTGATTCATGGAGCTCGCATGGAAAACATTTTGGCACAGAAAATAAGCCAAGCATAGCACCAGGAATTTATCACAGGCTAAAGAAACTACAAAAGGATGAAACCATTCCTATCAGGCAAATGCCCTGATAGGAATTAAGGAGAAAGGATAAAAATGATTTTCCTTCCTAGAACATACAAAGAGCCCTAAAGAAGGGTCCCTCCTTCACTAATGACAAATAGTTTTTTCCCATTATCTACAAAATCATAGAGTCACAGAATGGTTTGGGTTGGGAGGGACCCTAGAGATCATCTTGTTCCAACAAAATACTGAACAAAGGAAAGAGCTCCACTTACCATTTTGCTTTTTCCTTTAGCTTTGGCGGCTGAAAATTACTTTTTGACATTAGAAACAGAGCCCTGGAGGTAAAAAAAGAACGAGGTTATTATATGGTAAAGAAAATAATTAATTTCATCCTAGTATCTAAACACTTTAACATTTTATGGTGAGAAACATACTGGTGAAAATGAATTATAGTCTACGCTGTGTTAAAAGACAGATACAGTGAAGCTGTTGATTTTCTTATCTTTAAATAAAATCTTTTTAGTGCCATAATCCTGCTTAAACTTCAGGCTACAGCTTCTCCAGTGGTTTACTATCACTAGTAAATCTGTGCCTGTTCTTAATCAGATTCTTGATCGTGGAATCCCAAAATGTTTTGGGCTGGAAGGGACCTTAAAGCCCTTTTCATTCCAACCCCCTGCCACGGGCAGGGACACCTTCCACTAGCCCAGGTGACACTAAAATGTTGACAATAATTTAATTGAAATTATAATTGAAATTATAATTATTTGTTATAATTTCAGTTCTAAATGTAAGATTTTTAGCTCCAGACTGATCCCTCAAAACCAGGCAGGGCTCACGCGGGAGGGAGACGTTTGATGAAGGAATCCCAGCGTGAGTTTCCAGCCCTTGAGCTACAGGGAAGGTTAAAGTGAATCCCAACAGTTCCTGCTGGGATTGAAGAGGGTCCTGGAGACAAAGAAGCCCCCCTCCAGGTCTCAAACCTCATGGGGTGGAGGTCGAACATGGGTGGCTGGAGCTCTGCCAGCTCGATGGCCGTGATCCCCACGGCCCAGATGTCGCACAGCTGGTTGTACCCCCCGTTCTTCTCCACTGCTGCCACCTCGGGGGCCATCCTGAAAAAACCAAGGGCACCGTCACTGAGAGCTCCAGGCCCTCTGAACACAACCCCCCACTCCCAAGAGTAGGTCAGGGAAGAGCCCGATGTCCACGGGAAGCACCAGGCCCTCTGAGCACAACCCCCATTCCCAAGAGTAAGTGAGGGAAGAGCCCGATGTCCTGGGAAGCACAGAGAGGTTTTGGGAAGCACAGGGGCATCTTGCCTGAGGTCATGGGCTGCCAGGCAACACCAGGAATAGAACCAGGCCCATCATTCCTGGTGAAAAGCTTTAATGACCAGATAATCTTCCTGGCCATGGTCCTCCCTTCTCCAACCACAGCAGAACAATTCAAAGCCATTGTCTGGATGAAGCTGTTTGCAGAACAAGAACACACCCCCAGGCTCCTCCACTGCATCCCAGTGATGGCAAAACCCAGTTAAATTTGCATTTATAACCCAGCCCCGGATTTACAATGATCTGTTTGCATATTAAACGCTGCCTTGTGCAGGCATTAATCAGTAGAGATGATTAAGAGACAGTTCAAAAATCTGTTTTTCTGTCTGCACAGAAATCAGGAAGACACTGGTTATTTTACTCATTGGAAGTGTAAATAAGAAAGAGAATAAAATAAGTGAGAAACTAAATAACCATTAGAAAAAAGGTAGAATATTCTGCATTAATAAACTTGGGAAAAACAGCAATCCTGCCTCAACCATCAGGGAGCAACAGATCAGCTCCAATCAGTGCTTCCCAGATTTTTGCCCTCTGGGCATTTTACTTGGAAGAAAGGGAATTTATACAATTGCTGGGTATACGTGTGGGTATTTCATAATTTTTGGCATAAATACAAAGTCAGCTTTGCATCACAACAATCAAAGTGGTGTGTTACCAGTAAGGGGTGCCAATAAAGGATTTCCTCTTCGCAATGGTGGCTGTTATTTTTGCTGCTACCCCAAAGTCAGCTGGAAAATAAAACCATCAGAGACTTAGAAATCTCAGTTTAAGACCCCGATTCTACTGTATATGAAAGAACAACCGTGTTTCTCATCCAAATTAAAAATTCCTTAAGGTAAACAGTTAAAGATTAGTAATGAGATCATTAATGTCTTCACTGACATGATTTCAAATCAGTTTTCTTTATACATACAGCTCACTCGTGACCCTGTTTCTCTCCTAGACCATTTTTCCATCTCATAATATCATCCAAAATTTGTGGATATTCAATTTAAGAAGGAAAATGGCATCATGCTTTGGCAAAGGTACCTTTTGTGTGTTTTTATGGAGGAACTGTGATGGGCAATCTGTTCTCAGCCCTGGACACTCTGTCTAGGGGCCAATAATACCTTGCCTTCAGAGCTGCAGAACATCAGGAGGTCTTGCAGAGCCAGAGATCATTTAAATCCTTTTCATTTTGATTGATTTGTGGTATGAAATCCGCAGGATAACTGTGGGAATACCTAACCAGCTCAGCAGGCCAAAGGGAGGTACCAGCGTGTAACCCAAGTTTAATTCATGCAGCGAAATCTCCTATCAGTGCCAAGGTTTTATTCCTGCTTTTTTCCACCTTTAAAAAGCTGCCTTTTCCCAACACAGCATTCCTGGCTCACCACAGGGGTGTAAAGGTGTTGAACTAATGCACAACCACCCCAGTTCCAACACGGGACACAGGGGGATGATGAGCACCCCGTGGCAGCTTTCATGGATACACACTTCCTGTCATCACTTCCCATCATCACTTATTGCCCCAAATAATCATGGAATCATTTAGGTTGGAAAAGACCTTTAAATCATCGAGTCCAACCCTGCCCCCAGCACTGCCAAGGCCACCACTGACCCACGTCCCCAAGTGCCACATCCACACAGCTTTGAAATCCATATTATAAAATTCTGGCAACTCACCTAATTTGACATCCCCATGGTCTGTCAGGAGAATATTTGCACCCTAGAACACAATAAACAGAAAGTTACAGATCTTTTTGGGGAATATTTGTCCTGCATTGAGTTGTAAGTGTCTCAAAGTCCCAAGTTACCTTTATGTCTCTGTGCATTTTGCCCTTCATATGCAAATAAGCAAGACCCTGGAAATAAAGAGACACAACAGGTTATTTTGGCATTTGTTAACACATAAAACCAGTCTCATTTAATAAATTTTAATACATATTATATAATATATATATATTATAATATATATTTATATATATATATATAATATATATAAAAATATATTTTATTTGGAAGTGGAGACATTTGAGATTTGCAGATAAGGGGCACCCTGGATTCTGTTCCTCATCTCCAACCAACATGTGAAGTCTCACTTAAACCAGTCATGGTGTAAGATTTTACACAGATACAGGTTTGGGTTTTTCAAATAAACCTTTACTAAGATTCTAGTTTTGAAGTCCTGAAGGTTCCTCGAAGAAACAACCTGCCTGCACCTCCTCACCTTGTCTTCCTGCAGCTATCAGCAGTCACAAAAGACAATTTTATTTATCTGGTTGTAGTATTTTCCCTCCACACATCATTAAATTTACTACCACAGGGCAAGCAGGAAGTTCAAAATTTAAGCAAATATTTGCACTACTTTAATAAGAGTTTCTTGCTAATTTTTATTTACAGCATGAGAAGTAACAGGTTACCCCTGGTTAATTGGTCTCTGCTTGATTCCCAACAGTTCTGGGAACTGAAATAATCTTCTTTATCTACTTCCATGGAATAAACACTTCATCATAAACCTGCACAAGCACAGTACCTGTAAAGTTTCTCTGCACACATATGCAATTTGTAACTCTGACAGAGGTCCTGTCACTGAAAATAAAGACAGAAGTGGGTAAGTTTGCAGCACATGTGTTTATATTTAATATACAGCACACAAATAGCATCGTGAAGCAGCCAAAAAAATTGCCACGTCCATGCAGAAGTTAAAGCCTGATTTTACAGGATCTGGATTCTACACTGAGCTGAAAAGAGGGGTTTGTTTGCCTGTTTTACAGAAAGGCTTTCTGTAAAAAAAAAAAAAACAACAACCAACCAAACAGCACCATAACAGAAGACAATGCCCACAGTGAGAAGAAAACCTGTTTTCACAGAAATCTAATTATCATTTTACAAGAGACTTCGTAGTACTGGAATATCCTGTATTCTGAGGAGAGTAAAAATCAAAGTGACTTCTGCTAATATTTTAATATTAGAAATGGCAATGTTGTATTTTAGGGGCTATCTGTGGGGCTTGGAATTGTTTCAAAACTATTTGTACCAATGTGGTTGAATATCCAGTTCCGCTCCCAAATTACAGGTATTAGCCCAAAATGAGTCACCACATCTGAAAAGGGCTCTCAAAATCTCTTGAATGGTAGCTAAAAATCTCTATTCATGCCCCAAAAAAAACCCAGTGCAGTGCCTGGCCATTCCCTGTTAGTTTATTATTTAATTTTCTTCTTTGCAGAAAGCTTCCAGAAGTTAAAAATGCTGAAATAAATGGCAAAGTACCGTGGTAAATATCCTGGAGGGATCCCCCACCGCAGTATTCCATGCATATCCACAGCTTCTCACGGCTGTCAAAGGAAAATGAAAACACAGGCATCAAAAGCTGATTGATTCGGATACAGAACAGAGATAATCACCATTATTTAAATTATTTTCCATTGGTCTTGATCACCCTCTGTTAAAAATACACATTCTGAGGCCTGATCAGCAGTTACACTGTTATTAGTATAACTTCTCACTTTATTCATATAAATTACCATGTTATTAATATAAATTACCATGTCATCAATATAAATTCTCACCTACCAAAATGAAAATTTTATGCCAGAACCCCCGAGAGGTCTTTAAATATTATCAGATCTAAAAGGTGGTGCTTTAACTCTCCAATAACATGGAGCAGAAACACCCGAGGTTCACCTGCTACCAGCAGAACTGAAAGACAACACACTGAAGTGTTTCAGTCTTAAACTGAGATTGCCTAATTACATCTAAAAGAATTCATGCTCTCTAAAAGGAGGGTTTAGAAATTCAGCCATTTTATTCCATTTGTTGAGTCCATTTGGGATATACAGATTTTTTAAATGCAGCCCTCCAAGAAATCTAAAGGCTGCAAAAAAAAAGACCAAAAAGCGGGCAAAGTGCTGATTTGTGTTCCCACAGAGCCAACTGATAAATGGCAGAATTTCACAGAAATGGAAAATATTCCCTGATTTTCTGTATAACAACGTGCAAGCTTGAGGATGCAGCCAGTTGGCACCACCTTGGTTCTGCCTCTGTTACACCAGAACTATGACAAATGTTATTGCCAGCACCTCAAATTGAGTGTGTTGCTCTTAAAAATCCCTGGCTGTGCTTTCCTAGCCCAGAAAACTGTAATTAAATAAAATATCCAGAAGCAATTCTGCTCTAGAGAAATATATTATATGGTTTTATGTTAGAACTGATAAATGTATGGGCAGGGTTGGACGTTGCAAGAGGCTCCAAGGGAAAAGTTTCTCGCTGTTTCCTAAGTGATAAAAATATTCCAGCCTTTTGGCCAGCAGAGAAAACAAACTATTAGTCACTTTTGGTTTTTAAAGCCAACTTTAAAAAAAGCCCAAAGGGAATTCAATCTATGGAAGAACACTGAGAGAGGGGGCAAGGATTAAAACCACACCGAGAGTTGTTTAGGGGAGAACCAGGAGAAATGTTGGAATAAAAAGCAGGATTTACCTGAGATAGCTCCCGAAATAGGCGACTATGTTGCAATGTTTGCATTCCTTGACCATATATATTTCTTGCTGTATCAGTGAAAAGTCATCCCCTGAAAAACAGGAAGCAGCCAGGGTTACATCACACGGGGCTGAACGTTCGGAGAGGTCTGGAGGGATGCACGCAACTCGGGAAAAACATGGACTGGGCTGGATCGTGGCTAAGCCCTTCTGAGCACGTCAACCTTTCATCCACCACCCTCTCAGCCTGGATCCTTTATTCCATCCTTTTATGAGGCACAAATATTTCCTGAAGATCAACAGAGAAGGGCTGGCCTGGTGGCCTGAACATGATCCATCAGTTCCGACACGGAGAGCGTTGGGAAAGAAGGAAAGGGATCCCATGGAGGGATGGGAGCACACGAGGAACCTTGGAGCAGCCCCTGTGCAGCCACCAGAGAGTCCCAGCTGGAGCTGATCCAGCTTTACCAGGCCACGGTGCTCACAGCATAAGGGTCCCAACAACAAGAGGAAGGATTGCTGGAACCTAATTCCAGAGCCTCCTGCCTGGAACCAGGAGAGCTCACATTCCACAGGCTTGTTATTAAAAAGTGTTTAATTCCCAAACCACTGGGATGGAGCAGATGGCCTGGACACCCACTCAGCTGACTCAGAGCAGGAGCACAGAGTCCCCAGCACGGACTGTGCCTGGTTGTGAGCGTGGTTTGGGATGAGGACACCTACACCAGCACGCTGGTACATCCTAAATATCCTCTGGGGGGAAAAAAAATCTACTGAAAAGGAAGTAATAATGTTTTAGGTGCAATTTATAGTTATAACAATATGTTTATATAGATATTAAATGGATAGCAGGGGATGTTCTCCACAGAATCTACAGCTCAAACCCCGCAGCTCTGCCTCCATATTTTGTACGTTATTACCTTTATTCTTCCTTTGGACAAAGGGGAATGGCTTTAAGCTGAAGGAGGGGAGATTTAGGTGGGATATTGGGAAGGAATTCTTGGCTGGGAGGGTGGGGAGGCCCTGGCACAGGTTGCCCAGAGGAGCTGTGGCTGCCCCTGGATCCCTGGAAGTGTCCAAGGCCAGGTTGGAGCAACCTGGGCTGGTGGAAGGTGTCCCTGCCCTGGCAGGGGGTGAGACTGGCTGAGCTTTAAGGTCCCTTCCAACCCAAACCATTCCCTGAAAACTGTAACAGCTTGCAAGACACAAAAGACTAAAATTTAACTAAAGATTTTATGTTTTAGATAAAATTCTGCTCCGGACGATGTGGGAGCTGCCATGAAGGAGGAAATTGCTTTAGGTATTTTACTTCTGTTTAAAGTTTCCCAAGGAAAATTCTCTCACATTATTAAAGTCAGGGATGTCCAACCCAGAAAAGATGAACTGCTTTGTCCTGTTCCCTTTAATTTAGATGGTTTTGACAAGTCCAAGAGGACTCAAGCACTGCTGTAAACTGAATTCTTCTTGTGTTTATTTAAGTAACAGCATAGCTAATATTTTTTAATAACCTCTTTTAAAATAGATGTTTATATTTGCTGTGCTTTGAAGCAGCTTCCCTGAGCAATGGTGCTGCTGGCAAAAGAAGTGCCAATAACAGAAATGATCAAAACCTTTATGTCTCAGTGATTGCCAGACTTTTATTTAAGAAAACAACCATGAAATATGAAGGTAGAAGGGAACACACTTCCATGAATCCATCCCTGACCCATTTCAGTAAATCCTCAAGGGCTTCTTGAAGTTGAATTATGTGGAGAAACACTTCACTGGGGCAGGAAAACATTAGCAGAAGAGTTTCAAATGTCAAGAGGTTTTTTATAAACATCAGTAGTATTTTTTTAAATAATGAAAAAGAGAAAAGGCAACAGAACTTCTATAAATTTAGCACAGGTTTCACACTGTGCTTGGTTTAGGGGTTACCTTGCAGCTACAACTTTTCCTGAATTCACAAGTCCTGCTTATAAATTATCACTATGAACAAGGGAGTTTTGAGTTTAGAGAATCATGGAATGGTTTGGGTTGGAAAGGACCTTAAAACTCATCCAGTTCCAACCCCCTGCCACGGGCAGGGACACCTTCCACTAGACCAGGTTGCTCCAAGCCCCATCCAACCTGGCCTTGAACACTTCCAGGGATCCAGGGGCAGCCACAGCTTCCCTGGGCAACCCGTGCCAGGGCCTCCCCACCCTCCCAGGGAAGAATTCCTTCCCAATATCCCATTCCCTCTTGTCCTGTCACTACCTGCCTGTAAAAAAAGTCCCTCTCCCTCCTTTTTATAAACCCCTTTGAGTTAAATCTGATGGATTCATTCCTCCCATTTCTCCAACAAACTTCCTAAGGGAAGCTGTTGGAATTTCTCACAGGTAACAACTGGGGCATTTTCAAACCACACAAGTATTTTCAAGAAAGTCAAATCGAAGCAGTTTTGAAGGCAAATCCTCTCATCCCACACGGAAAAAAGGTTCTGTCTCTCTTCAACTAACTGTCCATGGGGTCAGAGGATCCAATGCCAAATCCCCACGGCCTCTTCAAATCACAGAATCCTTTGGAAACATCAGAATCCTGGCACATGTGAAAACAAAAAAGCAAAACCTTGCAGGCAGCAGCCGGAATTGCCCATGGATAGCACATGGATCGGGCTTCTGAGTGTGCAGCAACAGCCAAGCCAGTTCTAGAAACCATGACTAATGAGGAAAAATTGAAGGAAATACAGGGATTTGGGCAAGAAAAAGGCTGAGAGTGAAAAGATAACAACCTTCAGGCACACAAAAGGCAGCAGGGAAAGGGGGAGAAGGGATAATCTGTGTCCAGTTTTATAACAGGACACTTAGCAGAGGGCTTAAATTGCCTTAACCTACATTCTCTGTACAGATGAAAAGCTCTTCCTACTGGAATAATATTGCAGCACTGAATGTGAAGGGATGGGAAGCTGTGAAAATTCTCACAGGTGAAAAAAAAGAATTGAAGAAAACACTGAACAAGAACCGACCAGGATTGACTTGGAGTGATCCTGCCTGTAGTGGAGGGAGACAGAAAAGATGATCCCTTGATTTGCAATTAATAAATGAAGAATTCATGCAAGAAATGAGGGTTAACCTACAGAAAAAGGGGGAGGAATAGAATTTGGAAGAGGAAAGGGCTGAATACAGACAGGGGGCTGATAGAGAAGTGGCAAAGAGATGGAAAGAAGAGAAGTATCTGTGAGAAAAGTTTGGCTAAAATATGTAGGAAATGATTGTGAAAGATCAGACACAGAGATAGGAGAGAAGATGTATAGTCACTCAAAGAGGACAAGAATGAATACAAAACAAAGGAATTCAGAGTTTCCAGGCAGCTGGAGTATTAATCTTGGCAAGAGACGCTGGAATAGGGTAAAAATGAAATATCCTTGGATAGCAGGGAAAAAACCCAGACAGAACTGGTAGAAAATCCTTCATTGAGAGGGAGACAGCGAGATAAAAAGAATTAGACCAAAGGTGACAAAACATCCACACAAAGAGCTTTTCATCTGGTTTAGTCATCAATGGCTTGATATTAAACAACACGGAACTGGGAAAACGCCGTTTTTGCTGCTCACGTGTTTGCCACTATGGGATGTGCGGCACGCTGAGCAGGAACGTGGAGCAGGGAGCTGCTCGAGGCCCACGAGCAGCAGTGACTCACTGCAGCCTCTGTTATTATGTAATTTTACCTCTGCAGAGACACAAGGAGGCAACTCGGACACACAATGGAATATTCTCCTCGGATCGCGGCCGCTCCGCTTGGCACAACCAGCCGCTTGTTCTCCAGCACAGCTGGCAGGGAGGACCCTGCTGAAGCCCACTGTGGGGTGTGAGCAGAGCCCTTCCCACAAGCTAAGCAAGGTAAGGCCTGGGAAATTCAGGATGAATCCGTATTTAAACGGGAGATCAGGGAGAAAACTGATGGCACGTCAACAGCAGGGAATTGTTCCACTTGCAGACACGACGTCCCACCTGTGGGAGAGGCTGGGAGAGCTGGGGGGGTTCACCTGGAGAAGAGAAGGCTCCAGGGAGACCTGAGAGCCCCTTCCAGGGCCTAAAGGGGCTCCAGGAGAGCTGGAAAGGGACGTTGGACAAGGGCCTGGAGGGACAGAACAAGGGGGAATGGCTTCCCACTGCCAGAGAGGAGGTTTAGGTTAGATATGATGAAGGAGAAGATGAAGGAGAGTAGACTTAGATTGGATATTAGGAAGAAATTCTTGGCTGGGAGGGTGATGAGGCCCTGGCACAGGTTGCCCAGAGAAGCTGTGGCTGCCCTTGGATCCCTGGAAGTGTCCAAGGCCAGGTTGGATGGGGCTTGGAGCAACCTGGGCTAGTGGAAGGTGTCCCTGCCCATGGCAGGAGACGGAATGAGCTGGGCTTTAAGCTCCCTTTCAACCCAAACCATCCTGGGATTCTATGATTCTATGTGGAATTGGAATGTAGATATCCTGCCAAGATTTCCTAGATGGAGAGCACATGTCATTCTTGAGTTGGCACTTGGAATTTTTAATTCTTGGCACTTGGGATTTTTAACACTATAATTAACAGTTGTTATTTAAAAGTGGCATAACTTTTAACAACAGGACCAGGTGGACACTGCTGTGCAGGACACTGAAGGACACAGAGCAGGGTCACAGCACCACAGCCTCTGCTGGGACCATTCCTCCAAGAGTTCTTACTTCAACAACCTGAGTTCCCAAACAAGGGGGAGGAAAACCCATGGGAATGACAATTATTCGTCCCACTCCACACACTCCCCAGCCAGGCAACACCCTCAGGTCACCAGCTCCTCTGTGCTGACTTCCAGACATCTCCATGCTCACCAGTTCCCAATCACTCCCTCCAAACCCCTCTCCTGAACCTCCAGAGGGTTCAGGCTCTGCTGATGAAAAGGATGCCTTTCCCAAAATGCAGGATCCGAGCTGCTTTATCCACACTGCTTTTCACAGGACTCATGGAAACCTGCAGTCCCACAGAAAGAATTTAAATTCCCCAAACTTGAAACTCAGAAACTCGATTCCAAGCAGGAAGCAGCTATTTGGAAACAATGATGTTTCCACCAGCAAATTTTCCTGCTAGGCAAGTAGCTGCCA